CCCGCCGCCCGCGGGCGCGGCGGGCGCGGCCGGGGGCGTGGCCGCGGCCGTGGGCGCGGCCGCGGCCGCGGAGCGCCGTTGGATGAGCCGGGCTCGCCGCCGCGGCGGGCACGTAGCACTTCTGACGGGGGCGGGGAGGAGGGCGACGGCGGCGACGAACGCATCCCTGCAAAGCGGCCGCGGCGCTCCGTGGAGCTGTCGGACTCCATCCGCAGCCATGGCGTGTCGGAACATCACCAGCAGCATCAGCAGCAGCAGCATCAGCAGCAGCAGCAGCAGCAGCAGCAGCAACAGCACTTGTTGCTCCCGGGGCTGCTGGAAGACCCGGAGGCGGCGTGGGGCCGGGCGCCGCGCGCCGTCAGCGGGTACGGGCGGCAGGAGACGTGGCGCCAATGGGCCGCGGCGATGCGGCGCTGCCTGCTGCTGCATATCAAGGTATGAGGCCGGCCGCCTGCCGCAGGGCGCCCCCTCGCTCACATCTGGTTCCATTTGCACGCAACACACGCATGGGGGCTCAAACGTCCTCCTCCGACCGGATTCCTGCCGCGGAGGACACATTTCTAGACAGCTGCCATGACATGGGCAGGTGTGCAGGGTGTACTCTGCGGTCTCGCCCCTCACCTTCCAAGCAGTTACCCCTCTTGCCTCCTCATCTGCCACGCCCCTGCAACCCACCGGCCCTCCCTCCCTCCCCGCAGCTGCTGTCCCACTGCGGGGACATTTCAGCACTCGAGGGCGCCTGGCAGGGCCTGCTGCTGCCTCATGGGGCGCAGCAGCAGCTTCCAGGCAGCTACACACGCGACCTCGGCCGCGCGGCCCTCGGTCTGCACCTGCAGTCGCTGCTGGCGCCCGCGGCGCCCCACCTCGCCGGCCCCGCCGGCGTCGGCATGGACGCAGGCGCGGCGGCCGCGGCCGTGGATGGTGGTGGCGCTGTCGACGGATCGCGGGCTTCGGCTGAGACGGCCCTGTTGGACGGTCTCCTGGCTGACCCCGAAATCGGCCGCGAACGCGCAGCACGGGTCTGCGAATCCGCGTTTGCTCTATTCACAGAGCACACAGGCGCGGGCCTCGGCGGCGGCGGCGGCGGCGGCGCAGCAGAGGCGCTGGGCGCGGGCGCTCTCGAGCGTGCGCTCGAGTTTTCGCTGTCCCAGCAGCAGCCTGCGGGCGGCAGCCGCGGCTGCGAAGGGAGCGGCGACGAGGGACGCCCGTGTGTTGCCTTCGCGTCGCCGCCGGCCGAGCCCGACGCGCTCCGCCGCTGCCTGGCCGCCGGCGCGCCGCGCCTGCTTGCCACCGCCCACCTGGAGCTGCTGCGCCGCGCCGCGAACGACGGCGGCGGCGGCGGTGGCGCGGCGGCGCGGGCGCAGCTGCGGGATGTGTGCGGCCGCCTCAGGAAGCGCTGGCCCCGCACCAGCCTGCGGCTCGCGACTGGCCCGCTCGCCGCGCAGCTGCGGTCGCTGTGCGACGCCGCGGCTGCCGCGGCGCTCGAGGCGCACACGGCCGCGGCCGGCGCTGCGCTGGCGGCAGCAGCAGCGCACGAGGTCGCACCCTATGAGGAGGCGATCGGCGTGGCGGCCGACGCGGCCGACGCGGCGGACGCGGCGGCGACTCGTGCGCGGGAGGAGCAGGAGCGGATTCGGCGGGAGGATGAGGAGCGTGCTCGGCGGCGGGAAGAGGAGAATGAGGACGGCGGAGAGGGCTCCGATGAGGGCGCCGAACGCGAGGGGGATGGCGGCGGTGCTGGCAAGAGGGCGCAGCGGGAGCCCGGGGGACAGAGCGATCCCGGCGATGAGCCCGCGACCCCGCGCCGAGGGCGGAGCACTTCGCTCGACGGCGATGGGGCGCGGCGGACGTTGCGGCCCGAGGGGCGTGAGGGCCGAGCGGACGACGACAAGGCTGCGGCGGCGGGGGAGGATGAGGAGGAGGAGGGCGCCGGCCGCGAGGCTGCGATGGAGCCAGAGCGGGAGCACACCCCTGGCCCGCGCCTGAGGGCCCGCAGGGGCGCCAGCACTACGCCCGGCAAGGCCCCCCACCCTTCCGCCGCCGCGCCGCTCGGCCGCGGCGCGCGCCACGCGGCGGCGGCAGGCTTGGCGCCGGGCGGTGCGGCGGCGGTGGCGGGCGGGGACAGCGGGCTGTTGCATGTCGAGCTTCCAAGCCGCAGGTTGGAAGCCTTGCAGGCGCTGCTGCCAATCTGCAGGGAGATCTCAGATCTCTTAAAGGCCCAGCCCGCCGCCCTCCGCTCCGCCGGCGACGCCCAGGCCGCCTGCGGCCAGGCGCTCGCCTCCCTCACCTCCCGCGCCCTCGACGCCGGCTGCCGCGCGGCGGGGCTGCCGCGCGTGGCGGTGCTGCGCGGCGGGGAGCGCGCGGGGACGCGGGAGGCGCTCGACGCGTTTGGGGCAGCTGCCGGGCAGCTGCTCGAGGGGAAGCTGGACAGGCGGGTGGCCAAGGCCGCAAGGGACATCATGCGCGGCTGCGGCGCTGAGGCTCCCTCCGACGCGAGCGGGCACGCCGCAGCTTTCGCACCAGGCAGCGCACCCTCGCCCATGCCAGCGCCTGCTCAACGACTAGCGGCGGCGCCCGAGACTGGCGACGACGCGCGGCCGCCGCAGCCGCCTTTGCAGCCGTCCCCGGGCGGCGGCGGCGGCGGCGGCGCTGATGGTGCGCCGCCCGAGTCGCCGCGGGCAGGACTGTTACGCGCCATCATGGCTGCCGCCGCAGGGTCGGCGCCGGCAACGCCTGTGACCTCCCCCACCAAGTCGGCCGCACCAGCCGCCTCCACCCCGCCTGCCACCGCAGCAGCCCAGGCTCTTGCAATGCTGCTGGCCAATCCAGAGCTTGCAAAGCAGTGGTTGCAGCGGCAGCAGGAGCAGCAGCAGCAGCACCAGTACCAGCAGCAGCAGCAGCAGCAGCAGCAGCAGCAGCAGGAGCAGCAGCAGCAGCAGCATGCACCACCTGATGCGCAGATGCTGTTGCAGCGCCTTGCACAGGCGTCTGCAGCGCATGCGCAACAGGGGGCGCAGTTGCAGGGCGCTCGCCAGGAGCCGAGCCCCCATTATGGAACGATACAGCTGCATCAGCAGCTGCTGCGAGCGTGGCAGGCAATGCAGCAGCAGCCGCAGCAGCAGCCGCAGCAGCCGCGGCAGCCGCAACATCAGCCGCAACAGCACCAACGACCACCGCCGCAGCAGCAACAGCAGTTGCAGATGCAGCAGGTGCTGCGAAATCAGCAGCTTATGCAGCTGCTCCGCAGCCAGGCGGGGCCCATGCGGCAGGCTCAGCTGCAGCAACTGCTCCAGCAAACGGCACTGCTCGCCGGGCAAGCGGGGACGTTGCGGCTGGAGCCGCAGCAGCGGACGCAGGCGCAGCATGGAGCGCTGCAGCCGCTGGGCCAGCAGGCCTCGAGCTCTGCACGGGGGCAGTTGCCGGGAAAGGGCTCGTCAAAGCAGGCTCAGCAGCAGCACCAGCAGCAGCAGCAACAGCAGCAGCAACAGCAGCAACAGCAACAGCAGGAGCGGCGGCAACAGCTCGAGCAGCAGCTCCGGCATGGCGAGAGGCAGGACACAGACACCAGCCAACTGCTGCGGCGGCAGCGGCGCCAGAGCCTGCTCGTTTCGCGGCCGCTCGCCGGCGCAGCGCCAACTC